AATCGACGAAACGTGAAGGAATATGGAAACGTTAGCGAATTGCATCCATTTGTTTGCGAAACTTTCTTGATGATCAGTGAAAAGAATTTTCATCGGTTTATTTGCAGTATATTTCTCGGCGATCGCTTGTTTTCTGCTATTCAATGTCGGTGACGCTATTGGTCGACTGCTGTTCAGAATATTACCATTCGTAAGTGATAAATATAGTATTAAGATTATTCGTTAGTGGTATTATTGATAATAATACAGCTGTTTCAGAAGGGTCGTGCGCTATTGCTGCTATCTCTGCTACGTTTCCTGTTGTTGCCATTGATATTTTTTTGCAATGTTCATCCCAGATTTCATTCTACGACGCTCTTTCATAGTGATACGATCTTCGTTATTTTAATCAGTTTATTGGCCGTTTCAAATGGTTTGCTTTTTACTTCAGCGAATGTTTCAGCGACAAGGTTAGTGATGTCGAGTTCTTCATTTATTTTCACGTGTAAATTCATCTTTTTGTCTGTATTTTTAGTGGCGAATCGTAGTGGTCGAGACGACGAGAGAACAATTTGTTTATTGTGCTTATTTAACAGTTTATTTATTGTGATTAAGATATATCTTTTGTCTGCGTTTTATGTTGAAGTGCTGCCTTATTTAAATCAGTAGTGAAGCATGTTTGTTTTAAGGAAAGTGGATGAAGATTTGCGAGAGTTAACGGGCAGTTTAATGGGTCTAATAGCGGTGATATCATCAGTGATTGGCTCGATTTTCGGTGCTTTGATAGCGTTATCTGTTTAGTTGAATTGCCTTCAGTTCAGGCTTTCATCGAATATGAGCATAATAGTACCGTTGTGTACATTTTACGAGTTAATTGCTGTTATTTTTGATTGTAATTAACTTAAATCACTCCACAACATGTCATTCCATTATCTTATGTTACAGTTCGTTTATTTTTGCAGTAAGAGATTCATTGGATAGGTTGATTTTATTTCTGGCAATGACTTTTATGTATTGTCAATGTTTTTGCCGATTGCGAATTAACAGGATAATGATGTTCTAGAGTATTGTTGTGCTATATTTATATGACATGGTAAAAATTGCAGGTTACTAATTCCATTTTGTCATTTTGATCGAATCATTTGATCTTAGTTTTGATATCTCTCAGTTGTCCCCTCTTCTCTTAAGATGCTGTAAGCGTTGTGGTGATATTGCGGTAGTTAATTTCTCAATGATCGTAATAAAGAAAAATGATCTGAGATCTTTTATTTTTACTCAATCTGCTTATTTTGGTGTACAGAAATATTTTGATTGATGTTGTATGACTGGGTCCGGGTTGCTGATTTTAAACAACCAATTCGTACAATCGATGTTTGCTTGCTTCGCTCGCCTGATGTAATGCCACGCGGTTATCTTTTTGATTTATTCGTCAGTCGTTACTGTCAGATTTAATCGTTAGAATGTCCACCGCTTGTTGCCTCCGATATAGCGGATTGTACGTTATCGTTTGTCGAACACTCAAACTTGGGTAATTAAACCTTTTATCAACATGATAAAATAACATGTGCGTATAATATACGGAATGTGAATTACATCACAACATACATATACGAACGTTTTCTATACATATACTGTATGGCAAACTATATATATTCAAAGTTAAGGAAGAGATAAACAATAGAAGCGATATCACTGATCACAAAATGGAGTTGTTCCAGCTTCATCCTCTTATGCGTTAAGAAATAAGCTTGGTGATCATCGATTCACGAGTTTACAAATGCCGAAGTTATCTGAATAACTTTGAACATTAAGCATTCATAATGATGACCCGTGACGTAGTCGAACGTGTTTACTTCATAAAGGTATCTTTGATATCCTTTAGTCGAGATTGGTTAGGGCAAACGATCTCTGAACACCGAGATGGTTAATTTGCATAATTCACCGATGTCGAGTTTCGATAATCATTTCATACAATTGATATGATCTTGTGATCTTTTATTGTCGTTGCCTCTAAAATTTGATCCGCGTATTATCACCGTTATACGAGGAAGTCAATCAATTATAGGAGAAAATTTTGTTTAGTGAATACTCAAACTGATGACATGTGAATGAGGAAGTTACTACGTTAACAAAATGAATAACAACTGAAAAACACAACCGTTTTTCTTTTCAAATTCGTTAAGCTCGATTGAGAACGGAGCTATTAACGTGATGTTGGGTGATTGTGGTGTTGTAGATTTCACAACTGATCTCTTGACGTAAAAGATAAGTGATCATGAAATGACTTAGAGTAGGCCTGGCGATCTTGCGGTCAGCGAAGACTTTGAATGCAGTCTCCGTCCATTTTGGAACTTGACTTAAATGGGACTCGCTTGGACCGTAATTGCGGTAGAAAAGGCTCCCAAGCGGTCCGCGAGGAATTCAAATTCTCGTAAGCCAAATTGAACTGTGCGGTCGATTCTGATGAGGAAAGCAATTTCATTATTCATCTTTTGTGCTGCAGAAATATTGTTTTCTCGAGGAAATTGAGTTGTGTCATTATCACCTGTATTATCAGTACTGATTATTTTTGTTGTTATCATTGATATGTTTTATTACATTGCATTCTGTAGTGTCCTCATTATTTGAGTCAGTTTTATCATTATCATTGTCTTCATTACCACAACATTCCACTGTTGATTCACACAATAAAATTTCATAAAATAATTTCAATTGTTCAAAACATTGTAATTAAAAACTTTCAAGTTCTAATGATTCCAAAAGAAAACTAAAAAAGAACCAACGAATCACTAAAAAAACCGAAACATCGTCAAACGATAGTAGTACCTCCGAGCCTTCTTAACTACGGTAACTA